ACACACACATGCATGTGAAAATACACATGTGCAGATATGCATACATACACACAGCACATGTATACACCTGTCTACACATTCATACAGGTATGCATGCAATGTACAAGTACACATATACACATACATGCACATTTGTTTACACGCATATATAAAGGCATGCACTGCACATGTGCAACACACACATCCATGCAGTACACATTTGCAACACGCACATTTACATACATATAGACAAATAAATAACACATGCATGCACACATATCACATGCATATAAGGGGGTACCCCCAAAATAACCAGAATGTTTTTTTCAAAGCTGAGTACTTAAATTTTTTTACAAAACAACCTTATCACCTTCAAAGTAGTCCCCATTACACTTAATACATTTGTCAAATCTGAGATTCCATTCTGGGAAACATTTTTCAAACTCATCTGTTTGGATGGCTGACAGCACCTCCCTCATTTTTTCCTCCCCCTCTTCTACATCATCAAATAGCTGTCCTTTCATGTCCCTCTTCATTCATGGAAACAAAAAGAAGTCGCATAGAGCAAGGTCATGTGAGTAAGGTGCCTAGGGAAATAGAGGCATGCTGTCCTTTGCCAAAAAGTGGTGCACTGAGATGGCTGCTTGAGCAGGTGAATTGTTGTGATGGCAAAGCCAGTCCCCCATCTGCCACAAATCAGGCCTTTTTTGTTGTGCACTGCTATACAATCTTTTAAGAACCTTTAAATCAAAAGCTGGATTAACAGTCTGACTTAGTGGAAGGAACTCCAAATGCACTACTAATCAACATTTTCATCTGTTCGAGAAGTTGACGGATATCCAGAAAGAGGTTTGTCATCAATCAACATTTCACCTCTTTTGAAATGAGAAAACCACTTGTACACTTGAGTTTTTCCCATAGCGCTGTCCTTGTAAGCTGTGTTCAACATCACAACAGTTTCTGCATCATTTTTCCCAAGCAGGAAACAACATCTCACAGTTGCACATTGTTCTCTTAAATCGGCCATCATAAAAAATGAGGTTCGAGCAAAATTGCTTTTATGAAAAAAATTCACTGTGACCAGAGAGAACCTTCCCAGGCAACGCCACAGGGTGCACTAACTCAGTGAGTTGTTCGATGCTCCCCTAGAGGAAAAATGCATACTACGAAAACTCTGCTCTGCCTAAAGCAATTCTGTTTTTTTTTTGGGGGGGTACCCCCTCATATGCATATATTCACATGCACGTACATACACACACATGCACACACATATGTGAAGGGACTTCCTAAAGTTTCTGGAAAAAAAAACACCTCATTATCCTTTATTTCCATTTCCCTACAAACCTTATAAAACCCCTAGTATAGTCACACATACACACACGTACATGTGTGTGCCTGAACACCCTCCTCAGGACCTAGTGAAACAGATGCCGACTTGCCAGCTGGGGGGCAGGTGAGCTGGCAAGCCCTCCAGACCTCCTGCTTGTCTTAGGCCTGGCAGGAAGCCAGTACTTGGGGTGTCTGCAGGACTTCCTGGCTGGCCTCCTCTGTAGCAGAGGGGTACTGGGGTCCAGAGAATCCCACATCACCTGGTCCTTCAGCTGTAAACAGCAGGTGGGCTTGGATAGGCACCTTTTTCACAGCCAAATGCCAGCCTACTCCTGTTCTCTGGAAACTCAGAAATCAGCTACGAGTCCAAGATGCAGTGTCAGTGTTTGTACACGTATGTCCGTCTTTCCTAGTCACCCTAGTGAAGTGTTATGGGACAACCACTGTGGAAGGGGACCAGGGGAACCAAACCCCAGACTAAACCTGTGGCTGTTGAGTCAATGGTGACTCCTGGTAACCCCGTAAGACAGAGTAGCATGCCCTGTAGGGTTTCCAAAGCCCTGCGTGGTCTTTAGGGTTGCAGACAGAATGGCTGGCGGTTTTGATCTGCCAACTTTTCAGGTAATGGTGGAACAATTAGCCACAATGCCACCTGGCTTCCCTACCAAGTTTACCAAAACCAAAGCCATTGCCATCCAGTGCATTCCAACTAACGTCTCAGCATTGCCTGAGCCCTCACTCTCCACCCCCCGCCCCATCCCTCTGCGGAAACCACTTCTCAGAAGCTCATCCAAGACCAACTAAACACCAAGGCCTGAGTCGACGTCTTATTATGAAAAACAACATTTCTCAGCAGCAAGCATGTCCACGCCCAGACTTTGGATTCTAAATCACATTCTCCAGTAAAAGGCCTCTTGCCTTTGAGAAATGGCTGTCAAGGGCTGGGGCAGGAAAAACACAAGATATGAACTTGGGAAGTAAATACCAGAAAGGAAGGGTGGGATGCAGCAGCCAAGGTTGAGTAGCAGGGACAAGGTTGAGTAACAGAGAGTTGGAATAAAAGTCAAGGTAGAGGAGACAGACGTGTGGGGCCATACTGAGAGCGACCAATTGTTGAAGGAATAAACTGAGTGGGAAGAAGGGATGGCTTCTCTACAGAAGAATTGAAAATAATCTAAGGGAATTTTCCCACCTCTCCCCTTCCAAGAGGGAGTACTTACCCCTGCTCCCCTTGAGGACGTTGGGGTTCAATTCCAAAACAACAAAGCCTAGACAGAGGACATTTGCCAGTGCTTTTAGTAGTTTTAGAGCTCAGAAATAGCATCAGGAGAGACCAGCCCCTAGAGAAGTGCACCATGCTTGGTGAAGTAGAGGGGTAGCACGAGAGAGAAAGCCCTTCAACAAAATGAGTTGACCCAGTAGCATTGATGGACTCAAACATAAGAACCATTGTGTGGATGGCACAGGACTGGGCAGTGTTCGGTTCTGTTGTGCATACGGTCATTATGAGGCAGGACCGACTCAAGGGCACCTAACAACAAGTGTGGCAGAGACCACCCTCACCAGGTGTTGGAGGTGGTAGTCAACCTTGCCCGAGGTTTCTCATGGGCATCATGGACCTGTGATGTGACGGGGCAAGGAAGTGGTTCTCAGTGGCATTCTTCCCCAACATTTCCAAACTGGGGAGAACTTGAGAGAGAAGCATTAGACAAACCCAGCCTCAGAATCTTCTACAGAACACCTGATGAGTGCTCTTCATGACTGCCGAGGGTGTGGGGCACAGGGCAAGACAGAGAAGCCATCACAGCCAAGAGGAGGCCATGTGCACTGTGGTGCCCTGGGTGGAACCCTAGAAGAGAGGGAAAGGGCAGCCATGGGCACTCTGACAAAACCCATGTCAAGTCTGGGCTGTAGTTAGAGGTCATGCGCCAACGTTAATGCTTTAATGTGACAGATAGACCAGAGCAGGTGATTATATAAGATGGGAGATGGGAGAGAGTCACTTGTATTATCTCTCAAAAAGGTGATAATTGTGCCACTAAAGTAGAACAAGGATATATATATATATCCTATCAATAGATTCTGAGCTCACACTTAGCTCTAAGCCCTAATTTAAGAACAATCAGTTCTTAAGATGTGGCCTTTCTCAATACTTACTCTCACACAGTGATCACTGAAGATACAGTTGCTTTAGCAAAGCGTGGTGAAGAAATCAGATGGTGCCTGGCTATTACAAAGAATAGCATCTGGGGCTTAAAATTTATCTTAAAACAAGCAGTGATCTAAGAGAGATGTCAGTTAAGTTCACCCAGAAGCAGCACACCATCCCATGTGATCCAAGGATTGTAAATAATAAAATCCAAGATCAGAGGAGGGAATTATATTAGAGATTAAATTCAGAGCATTTGATTTGCAGTAGGCTATGCATGACAGGGTAAGTCCAAAATCCATTTGTTGAGTCCACATGGGGATTAAGCCTCCATTGAATTCCCTCAGACCATTGACCAAGGATGTGAATAGCCTTGCTTCTAGACAGAATTCATCAGAAAGTGAACTGATGCAGCCATTGTTAGGTTAGAATTTAGCATCATATCATTTGTTTTCCTTTTTGAGCCATTTTCCCTGGTTTTATTATTTTCTGCTTTCCTTTGGATTGAGGTTTTTCTGTGCTTTCTTCGTTTGGTGGTGGGGGAGTTGTACACTTTTCTTTATATGAAGTCCAGGATAGGTAAATCTATAGCGGCAGTACCTAAATTAATAATTTCTTAGCATTTTGGTGGAGAAGATGGGGGAGGGATATGGGGAGCTGATAATATTGAGTAAAAAAATGAAGGAAGTGTTCTAAAATCAAGTGTAGTGAGTGATGATTCCACCAACTCTATAATATATTTAAACCATTTAATTGTATGGTATGTGAATTACGTCATTAGTTGGTTAAAATAAACATTTTTAAATCATGAGCTGGGAGGCGGTTCTGCGGTAGAATTCTCCCCTTCTGTACAGGAGAGCGGAGAGGATGTCTGCCCCTACAGATTTAGTGTCCAAAACCCAAGGGAGCAGTTCTGCTCAAGCCATCAGGGTTGCTATTGACTGGATGGCAGTGGGTGTGGTTGGGTTTCAGTGGGAGCTCTGGGTTTGATCCTCAGCCATTGCATCTCATGCACATCGGATGGGACAAGGACCCAGTGGCCAACGCTGGATCATACTGAGCAGTAATGTAGAGCTGGATGATAGCTGTCTGTCCATGGTGGGTCGCCCGGGTCCCATGAGTCGGCATCGCTCCGTGGTAGGGAGTCTTGGATGGTGGTTTTCTTTGTAAGTTGTGGAGGTTTCACCAGGGCTTGTAGACTCAGATGCACCCGGCAAAGAAGAGCTGGCCGTTGACTCCCAGAAATCAGCCAGTGATTGTGGGGATCACAGTGCGTGTGGGGCCACCCTGAGAGGGGAGCTGACCCGTGGCTGCTCACAACAAAGCTGAGGTTGAACCCTAGGACTGCTGGTCTCTCCACAGTCCACAGTCACCTAGGCCTTCGAGTGACCTGTCTCCTAGGTGAGGAAGCCTGCACCCCGGCTTCCAATGTCTCTGGACACCCAAGTCTACACCCGCTCCTTAATAGGGAAGCAGGTGAAGAAACAGGCCCATTTCCATTCCCGGGGCTGGGGGCGAACACCATGCCCAGCTGTCGCCACCCATGGCTCACGTGGAGGCCTGTCCTACAGCAAGGAATGACCTTGGGTCTTCACTTTTGTCACATTTATTTGGACTTTAATAGATAAATATCTTTTCGTGATGGGAGGAAAGGGTGAAACGATACTGTCTTTTATTTTGTGTTTCTGGCGTCTCCAGCTTTGATGGCATGGAGCGAGCAGGCCCCAGCGGGCACAGCGGCCGCTCAGGTGTAACCGACCAGGCGCGGGGTGCTGGGGAAAGTCTTGCGCATGCGCATGCATTTCTCCTTGTCGATGCAGAGCGTGTAGGCCTTGATGGCCAGCTCGTGCTCCAGCCGCGACTTGGTCATCACCAGCAGCTGCAGCGTGTCCTGTGTCTCCCGCAGCCTCAGTTTCAGGGTCTGCAGCGTGTCGTCGATGGTGAACACCTCGTTCACGAGCCTGAGGGGGGCGGGGCAGAAGGGGAAGCACCGCCTATCAGGTTGTTCTGCACAGACACACTCGCTCTGCGGCCACCACGGTGTCAGGCACCAGCAGACCGCCCACCCAGTGAGGGGCTCCTTGGAGTGCCTGACACACTTAATGGCTCAGTGAGCGGCTGGAGGTTCAGGTCCACCCACAGGCACCTTGGAAGAAAGGGCTGGCGATCGACAGCCCCCAAATCAGCCACTGAAAACCCGAAGGCACAGTTCTACTCTGGCACACCGGAGTAACCAGGAGTCGGGCTGAACTTGGTGGCAAGCAGAGGGTGAGGGAGTGGGGTGAGCTGGCCACCCCCCTGCAGCATGGAGGGGGGTGCTAACCTCTCAGAGGCTGCCGACACTTGGCTCTGAGTGGTCCGTGGGAGGCCTGCCCAGCACAGGAGCTAGGGAACCATCCCTTACAGAGCCCTCGGTGCCCAGAGGGCTGGGCCTTCCTGAAGCAGAGTCGGTGAGATAGCCGGCCTGGACCTGCAACGCCACAGCCCACACTCCCGGCTCTTGGGACACCCTGCTCTGAACTTCCCGGCACAGCCTGGGCACTCACTTGAACTGCGGGATGTCCCTGCACAGCTCCACGTTGGGGCGCCGGGTGCGGCACTCCAGCCTCGTCTGTGCCACCTTCAGCGGGCACTCCTTGGCCATGATGGCCCTCTCCAGCAGCATGATGGTGTTCTCCGCCTGGAAGATCTCCTGAAGCGTCTGCGGGGACACGAGGTGTCTGCCACCACTCTCCACGCCCACCCGCCGCACCCCAACAACGGGAGAACACCTCTGCCAGCCTCCAGCCAGACGCTGAGAGGGAGCTTCCCAGCCTCGAACACCTCCAGGGCACAGGCAGCTCACTCTTCCGCAGAGGCCGCTTCCGTGGCCTCGCCTCACCCTGCATGCTGTGGAGGGGCAAGCAGCAAGGGTGGTTTGCTTTGCCATCCCCTCTTTCCACTCTAGGGGCCCTGGTGGTGCAATCAGGGAAGTACTGGATGGCACAGTCAGAGGTTCAAACCCGCCAGTGACTTCAAGGGGGAAGGAAGGAAGGAAGGAGGAAAGGCGGGAGAAACGGATGGAGTGGATAAGAAGGGAGAAAGAAAGAGAAGAAAACACTTTGTATCCGTAGACATATTTCCCCCAGTACAATGCCACCATGCACTGCAGGAATCCCCGGCTGGTTCAGAGAGTCCATAGGTTCAACTCCTCAAGGATGGGTGAGAGGTTCAAATTCACCAGAGGTGCCTTGGAAGAAAGGCCTGGAGATCTACTCCAGCCATTGGTTTTCCTTCTACTGCAGCAGCCATTGACAACTTTCTGGCCACATGAGTCACCATCAGTCGGAGTTGGCCTTACAGCAACTGTTTCATTGCATTGCGGCCTTGCCGTTGTTGTGCCTGCAGTTTCTGGAAGTGTAGGTCCCAGGCAGGGATGCTAGGATGCCTCCCGGGGCCCTACAATGCTTTGTGTCTTGGTTTGCATAGAGCTTTCCTAGGTGGGCACAAAGGCAACACTCCCCAAGCTGTCAGACTGCCCTAGCTCGGGAGAGAATAAAATAACCACAAGCAGCTCAAATCTAGGAAAAGACGAGGGAAATGTTGATCTTCCTGTTGGGTAGGTGGGGCAGGGGCAGGGTGGGGGTCTTTTCTATGACATGTTCCATAATAAAAGAACACAGGAATGGCTGGAGAAGAAAATCAAGGGCAAGTGCACCAGCAAAGTCTACTCCCAGGAAGAGCCTGACCAGCCACGAGCAGCCCAGAGCTGAGGGGCTGGGACAGAGCCTTTCACCCTCCAGCTTCCCCTCCCCCTTAGCGAGTCCAACCCTCGGCCCTGAGCAGGCCGGTTTCTCTTGGTGCTCTTGTCTCACCAGAACGTTCTTTGGGATGGGCTGTGCTGACACTCCCTCCCAGATCTAGTAGGATCCCAGTGACAAGGTTCCCTCTACCCTGCTCTTCACAAGCTAACCAAAGTTCCTTGCCACAATACCTGCCCCCAACACCCAAAGGATGGCGACAGAATTACCCAGGCCCGAAGGAGCTTGATGTCATTTGCCCAGGGACTCCATGTCACTTAGAAAGCCCACTCATCAGCCCTACCAAAAACTGCTCAATAAAGTCACTGCTTGAGGCCAACCTGCTCAAGGCTTTGTGCATCCTCCATCTTGGGTGTGTCCACGATCTTCAAACAGGTTGACGGCTAATAAACATCTCCGGTCACTTCCTATCAGTCTGTTGAGGGCAGCAATGGTTCACTGGTAGGATTCTCCCCTTGCGTGCAAGGAGACCTGAGTTCGATTCCTTGCTAATGCCCCTCATGTGCAGCCACCACCTGTTGCACAGTAGAGGCGTGTATATTGTCGGGATGATGAAAAGGTCCAGGGAATTTCCAGACCACGGCAGACTTGAAGTCAGGCCTGATGATCTTTAGAAAACCAGTCAATGGAAACCCTATAGATCAATTCACAATGGATCTTGGGGGTAGTGCAGGACTGGACAGTGTCTTGTTCTTTTGTACACCGTTAGTTGGGGGCTCAGATTGACAGCAATACACAATAACAATCCTTTCCATGTGTAAGTTTTCCCAGTGAGCAAGGTGTATAACTCAAAGAAACTACTAATGAAAGCCTACTAGGAGGATACCATGGGTAAAACTATTGTTAGAAGAGAGAAACTCAGAGAGATTACCTCTTCTATCTTCCATCTAAGATACAGCTACCAGTTTCTACTCAGTTGTAGCAAGAGAGACAGAGTAAACTAAAGACTCAAAGAGAAAATCTTCAACAAGGCTGCGTGCACCATGACTCCATCTATCCAGAGGCCAGAAGAACTAGATGGTGCCTGGCTACCAGTACCAATGTGCTGACCCAATAGATGAGCCCAGACAGAATGGGAGAAACAAAATGTAGGTCAGAACTCAACTTCTTTTTAAAAAGCCAGACTTACTAGACTGGTGGAGACCACCACCCTGAGGGACCCTTTAAACTTTGTATCAAAATCACACCCAGAAATCATCATCTTTCAGTGACATAATCAACAATACCACCCACGGGTGGACGGAGGAAGTACAATCCTGCTAGTGATATGGTGACTGACTCTTCATTTTTTCAATATGAAAGTACCTTTTCTATTTTAGTTTCTTGGTCAGTGAGGGTGATTTTTAAACAAAAGTTCCCAAATCATACTCCAAAGGTTACATATTTCAATAGATCCCTTATTCACACACACACACACACACACACACACACACACACACAGGCAGAAAGGGGACATTGGCAAGAGTGACCAGTCCAAGGTCAGGCCACTGGGGCCAAATCTCAGTACGATCCCTTTCTGAAGCTGTAAGACCTTGGCAGAGTTAGGCATCTGCTCCCTCAGCTGGAAGATGGGCACTAAGTTACACCACCACCACCCCACCCCCCCACTATGGGAGCGTTGCTGAGAAAAAGTATGTATAGCACTTAAAGAGCATCTGCTCCCTGTAATACCCATTAGAGGTCACTGCTGCACTTGGCCCCTCTGCTTCTCTAACACGCCACCTGTAGGTTCAAAGTCCAGTGTTTGCAGGAAACCTCACCCAGTCCCCCTAACTAAAGCCAGGTCACCATGAAGGGGTCTCCCCACGCCTGGTGTCACCCACCCTGAGTGTGAGCTGATCCTGGGGAGGGTGCAAGGTCCACTCTGCTACTGTCCAGGTCCCCTGCTCCCCCCATACCTGCCCCACCTCCACAGCCCTGGGATTAGAGCGGGGTGCTGCAGCACGCACAGCTGGCACGCCCCCAGGCTCCCAGCCCTCGTGCATATCCTTTGCTAAAGATGTTCTTAAAAAGCACCAGCTTCATTTTTATGGCTCTCTATGATGTGTCCCCAAAATGCAGTAAGCGGCATTGTCCAGCGATTGCTTGTTTTGAGTTCTGACATTTGCACACACCTGTGAGGCCATCAGCGCAGTCCAGCTAGCCCGAGTACCCATCACGCCCAGGCTTCCTGGGCCTTTAGCCAGGTCTGGGCACTCCCACCCCAGCCCCAGGCCACCACTGCTCTGCTTTCTGTTACCATCAGTCTGTTTACATTACACAGCCTGGAGTGTTCCACTTTGCAGTACTAAGTGGTGTGTGCCCCTGGAACTCATTGCTTTGTCTCGCACAGAGCTATTCCACTGCACAGGGGACAAACCAAAGCCAGGCGTGTGACATTGGAGGCACTCTCACTCCTGGGACTCCATGCTCGGGGTGGTTTTCTTGACTGCACACGCTTTTAGAAGCAGACTGCCCTGCCTTTCTCACTCAGTCCTATGGGGTGGGTTCGAACCACCTATATTCAGGTTACGAGTTGAGCACAAATGGTCTGTGACACTCCAGGGCCGGTGTTCCTGTTCAGCCCCCTGATGATGGGCCTGTGGGTGCTTCCAGCATGGGTGATCAGGAACAGAACTACTGAGAACACTCATACATCTACATGTCTTTGTGTGAGCCTTGGCTCTCATTTCTCTGGGGTGGATACCTTGGGCGGGGACAGGGTTGGCCAGATCACGGGCTAGATGTCTGTTCAAACTGTCTAACCTTTGCAGAGCGACAGCGCTGGCTTATGTCCCCACCAACTGTGTTGGAGAGTGCCACTTGCGCCACAAGCCCACAACATTCGCAGGAGTCAGAATGTGTCGCTTCAGCCAGTGGGGATGGAGTGGCTCCCGCTCGAATCACATGTGCCTTTGAGAAGTCCCTGTGTGCTTCAAATGGCTGCTAACTGGAAGGTTAGAACAGGGTTTCCCAAAGTGGGTGATGCCACTCACTGGGGTGGGGGTGGAGGGTGGGGGCCCAGGAATGACCCAAGGGGGCTCTGAAACAGATACCTGCATTAGGGATCATGGGGCAAAAGGTTTTAATGGCCAGGGCATGCCGAGTCTCTTTCTCTTTTCTGAAAAGGGTCAGATTAGTTTGGGGACCTGTGAGTTAGATATTTGAGTCCATCCCAAGGTGCCTCAGCAGAAAGGCCTGGTGACCTGCCCGAGAGATCCGCCTTCGGCAGCCTTATGGACACACTGACACACATGGTCATGCTGAGTTGGGGTCGACTGAGTGACAACTGGTTGGATGCTCCTTTGAAGATTAGGCTCCCAGAAGACTGATCTAAATAGCACCCGGTAGTGCCGTGGGCTGGGGATGTGGGGTGGGGATATGGGAGTGAGCGTTTGAGATGAAAAGGCAGTGGCCCCCTCCCAGGATCCACCAGACCCAGCCACTGAGATATTCTGCGGGGCATCAGACCAGCATTTCCCATCGAAGGGAACTTCCAGCCTTTGCCCTCCACTACACCTAGGTGGTCCTAGGCAGAACTGCCTTGTGGGTTTCTGAGACTGCAACCCTTTAGGGAGCAGAAAGCCCCATCTTGCTCCTGCACAGTGGCTGGTGGCTTTAAACTGTTGACAGTTAGCCGTCCAACTCTTAACCCAAGTTGAAAGATGTTGCCATTAAAAGAGTGGTTCATTCAAATCCACTGGGTAGCTATCCTGTATTGCTAAATCTGGCAACACTTATCGCCAAAAAATCAGAGACATGCACTGAGTGGAAGGATGGAAGGGAGGGAGGGTAGGGGAGCCAGGAAAGGAGCTTAACATCCAGATTTTTAACCAGCTCCCCTAATGATCCGTCTGTTCACAACACCTGGGACCATCCGTCTTTGGAAATGTTGGGAACTGACGAATGGTGATGGTCATGA